AGTTCTGTGAGAGATTTCTGGGTTTTTAGGTTTCATCGTTAGAATCTCTCAATTTTGCACTGTACTTCTCCTGCCGTTAGCTACAGGTTGACAGGTCCATAGATTATTTTAACCAAAAAAAGAACATAATTTCTTGCTGATTTAGTGGGAAGTTAACGAAATCGACTTACCTTGGACGTCACTGAACAACTCGTGACTGGCTTTATCGTATTCTTCTTCCTCGATGCTCACATTCACTTCAACTGTTTATCCAGCTGCACGTTCTTTTACTTTACAGGTCGACAGGTGTTTTCGATCAATCGGAAGAAACGTTTTTGCTGATTTAATTTGAGGTTACAAAATTGACTTACCTTGAGCTTCACTGATCAACTCTAAACGAGCTTTGTTGTATTCTTCTTCCTCGATGCTCACATTCACTTCAACTATCTCTCCACCTGCTCGTTCTTTTACTTCGTCGGTCACAAAGAAGTCGTACAGCCTCCTCTCCAGCGTCCCATCTTGGTATAAATTCCACAAGGCAGTAAGAGCTGATAGAGTTTCAGCTTGAACTGTGAGGCACACACAGCCATTAGTTAGATTCACCAGACGGGTTCCAGCAGGAAGAACGTGGGTATTTATGGCGGTGATTAGCTGGCGAAACGTGGACCAACGACTCATGAGCTCCACGAGAGAGACTACTACAACTTTGCATACTACCTTGATATCCAGCTCTGAGGAAAAGCAAAGAAAGGCCACGTGTAATCATGGAGTTCAAGCTAGGATGGCCGACTACTATAAGTAGATCGGTAGCTTCAGCATCAGAAAACTCGAAAGGAAACGCCCACCACATTAGCAAATGTTTCCCTAAACTTGTCTCCCAATAAGTCACAGTTATGGTAAGGTGAGTGCCGTGATCCATTTATCCGTGTAATCATCAGGGGAAGCCACACTGAAATTATTCATAAAGGGAGCACGCTTTCGGATCATGTAAATGAATGATCTTTCATGTATGAAAGATCATATATTTATGACCAACACAGTTGACAGAATGCAAGTAAATATATGAAAGGTCACACATTTAGAAAGAAAGCGGCATACAAATTTAATATAATAAGCTGCAGTGTAAATCAGATCATATAGCTAGCCCAAAAAATCAAACAGCCATTTTACAAGCAACAAAGAACAACTCTCACAGCTTACCACCTATCAACTTATGTCCAATGTATGAAGCAACAGCAATTGCTCGTGCTGAAACAAAAAGACAGAACGTCATGCACACAAACCTACTGTGTTACAAAGGTCAGAATGCTTTGGAGACAGTGCAATATGGTTCCCTACTGCCATATAGCGGGAGCTCAAACAAGCTCCCTCATATGCAAAGAATGATTAAATTTAAAGTAAAACTTATTACAGTCTGTATCTACTGGTAACAGTAACCAGCTGAAACCCGGCGGCTAAAAACGAATAAGCACAAGTTGCACTAACAGGAGATGGCCAAATAAACACAGCATGTTACCCTCTCGTTCCTATCAACAAACCAAACGGCTTCTTCAAATGAAGTCTGCTGGTTTATATTTTACTTTATTTTACTTTATTCTACTTTGACAGATCAATAATCCACTGTTTATTTTGTAATGCTTCTTTATTGATATTACATAAATGCCTAGCCCTTCATGAACCAATTGTCATAATCTTTGTGGCCTAATAGGTTACCATAGCAAAGGTTAAACCTGTTAAACTGAATGCTTTAATTAATGGTTTATATCCCAATAACGAGCTCGGTGACCCCTATTTTTGTTATCGAAATGTGCAAACCATGATAAGATGCAACTTCTTGCAAAGTTCACATAAATTATTCTACGGAGGGAGTTCAGAGCCCAAAATATGTGGTTAACTGAAAACTGAGCTGCTGGAAAAGAAATGCAAATTGTTGCCAGCCACCTTAATTTTATTATTCAAGTTTAAGCCCTCTGAAAACAAATTAAGAAGTTAGGGAAGAGGGGAGAGGAATAAATAAGCTACCTGCAATTCTGAAGCCAATAGCATTTTTGTCACCCCTTATTACTGTTTGGACCTGGCGTTTGAGCACACACGAAAATCTCAGTTCAACTCCGATTACATGAGTGCCTTGCTTTCTATTTCCTACTCCGAGAAAAAAAAATGTATTCGTGCGGAGTGATGTAAGATTAGGAAGTTTAAGCAACGACAACGGCGACGCCGAGGACGACGCCTATTCAAAAATGAATTCATATTTTACCAGCGGATGGCAAAGAAATGTACAAAGATTTATAATGCACGGGCACAGCTAGCTATTGTTTTGCTCAGTGATTAAACCATTTGTCTGGTGACGTTCACGTTCCCGTCGTGGTGGTTTGGAAGTGGATTTTTATCAAGATCAGAAAGAAATTCAAATCCAGGAATCACAGCAAAGATCGCCATAGGCTTTGAGCATTTAGAGGCACAAAACCCGCTCCAACAAAAATAGTCAAGCTAGACAACATTCCGAAAAGCCGATTTGAGTTTCCTTTTATTGAAATCCAGCGGCCGAACATATAACTGCGTGAATTTGTAGAATTTGTTTATTAATGTTGTTCAGTTCTTCGAGTTTGCTGTTGTAGGAATGAATTGAAATGTCATTTGATCTTTCCAGTGATTTCTTTTGCTTCTAACCAGGGGCCACATAAATCCTGATGTACATTTTTCAAAAACGTTTACAAACTTTGCTTCAAAACTTTCAAAGACACGTTGTAGGGCGTACCGAATCATTTTGCTTGCATCTGTTTGAGTACAATATAAACACGGCAAAATTTCTCCCGCTCTTAAAGTCTGTCTCTGTGCCTGCTTCTATGGATAAAAAAACAAACAAACAAACAAACAAACAAACAAATACCTTTCGTCCTATTAAAACCTTCCTCTTTCCTTTTGAGTTCATCCTCATGCTTTCTTCGTTCTTCAAACTCCTTCACCTTCTTGAGGAGATCATGATTCTCTGTTTCTGTCAGAATCTCCTTCAAAATGGCCAAACGGTGAATTCCTAAGTTGCTTTTGCTTTCAAGTTCTTTAAATAAGGAGCGAACATCTCGAATTTGGTCTTCGCTTTCTTCCGATATCTTTCCTCTGCACATCGCGATGAGTCGTTCCAGTTCATTGAGCTCGTCGAGTACTGGAATGATCTGTTGAAGTAATCGGTTAAATTCTAGTTTTTTTTCTCTCGAACTTTTCAAATTTTCTGTTGAGAGACCATTCCTTGACACCTTTTAGCAACTCTTTCGTTTCTTCCAGGTGATCAACTCCATGATTATCCTGATCTTCCAGTTCTTTGAACAACGACAGCGCATTCTGGATGTTGTCTTCGCTACCAGACGCAATCTTCCCTCTGCACATAAACAATAAACTACCGAGTATGTTCCGTTCGTCCAGTCTCTCACTTATTTCAAGGATTAGGCTCTTGTACTCGATTTCAGGCATTGTAACTGCGAATAAAAGACCTCTCTTCACTCATTCTGATCAGCGTCATGTTAAAATGTCTCAATGTTTCAGTCCAACATGGCGGGCTGAAAGCAACAGCTCAGCTCGATGTTCGTTTCTCTCCACTGGTCACGCGAAGTGTTTCCGAGAAAAGTCGGGTTTCTTAGAATTTTGTCTCAACTTCAAGTTATAAAACAATAGGGCCGAATATGATAAAGGTTCTGTTTCCGAGGCCACCGTGAGTTTGCAAACTTGACAGGTCTTGGCAATGATTGACGAACACACACCAGCGGGGGAGGGAAAGTTACGGAGAAATCGATATGACACATAGCAGAAGCGACTTGACTTGACTGTGTGTTGCTCTGTCTATCACAATGCGAAGAGTAGGCGAACCGGAGTAGGAGTTATTCGGAATTTTAAGCACTTTCGTAGTAGTTATCAAGCCTTGAAATAACTTTAGACCACTGTATTTACAGTGGAAAGCCTCTGGTGTCTCATAGCCAGTGGGGATTGCGAATGCCAAATAAAGCTTGTTAGAGAAAACTTGCTTGTTTGTTGAAAAAGCATGTATTATAGCATCTAACGTACTTAAGGGAGGGTTTCACGGTTCGGCTCATGTCTGTATCATTTATGTGCCTGTACACGCTTTTTGGCACACGCCCAGTTTTTCATTGTTTATAAACCAATCGTAAGCAGGTTACCTAATTTCGCATTCAAATAGCTGTAAAATCATCTACATCTACATTATGGGGGTCTTGCAAAGGGAGGCATGTTCCCATCACTGCAAGACATCAATTTATTCTACGTCAACTGTAGAATAAATTGTACGGGTCAAAATTCAACGCTCGACGGCGTCGGTAACATGATCCACTGAAATCTCCTGAGAATTTTGGTCATCCGTCATTCTGCCACGACTAACCATGGCATGTGATTGCTGAACTACATCTGATCGAGTGGGGTTTTTACATGTGTAAAGTACTAACATTGATAAGAAGCGAACAACCATGCGCCGAACCTCGGAACCCTCCCTTTAAACAAGGACAGTGCATCTTGAATGATGTCTTCGCTTCCAGACGCTAACTTCCCTCTGAAAATAAA